TTCCATTAGCCCTTTTTAGAATGACAAATGCTAAGAGATTATGGGAATCTCACAGTATCTGGAATGCCATATGCTTTGCTTGACCTTCTTTTCTCACTGTTTGATTGCATATATCAGTGGTGGCGAACCTATGGCACGGGTGCCAGAGGTGGCACTCGGAGCCCTCTCTGTGGACATGTGTGCCGTCGCCCCAGTCCTCAGCCTTCAGCTGGGTTTTATAAAACCTTTTCGCTTTAGGCCTCCGCCATGTGCAAAAAAAAAAAAAAAAAAAGGTTCAACCAATCAGTCAATTTCAACTTCTCTTCTTGCAAAGTTGGAATTAATTGAACTTTTTAGTCCCACCCAGTCTGCCGTTACCAGCGCAGCCACGCTCACCCAATGGGCACGCCCACCCAATGGGCCACACCCACCCGGCACCCGATGATGCATAAGTGGGTTTTGGGTTGCAGTTTGGGCACTTGGTCTCTAAAAGATTCGCCATTACTGGCATATTATACATTATGGATGGTACTGTTTTATCTTGTCAATATGCATTATCAGATTTCACTGCAGGATGTCAGATTTTATTACTTTCATACATGTCTTTCCAAGATTTATGCAGGGTGTCCAGAAGTGGCAATCCATTTTGAGCAACATTTCATGCTAAACTTGGAAAAAAGCTTTGGTTACTAAAATGTTTGTATAGCAGACCAGACATCAACTGGCAATGCTCAAAATTCATTCTTTTTGCATAAACAGCATACTACTTTTAAAAAAATAAATTCTGGTGAAATTTCTTAAAGTTTTCCCTTTTCACAATAGCACTGAACAATATTTCTAAAATTGTGTGGGAACAATATTAAACAGTTAGATGTTAAACAATTTGAATCATAAGAAGGAGGAATAAATTCATACTTTATAGAAGACATTAGAATATGTTCAGCTTTTTCCATACATTTTGTCTCCTGGTTATCAATTTTATTCATTGCTTCCTAACAGTATTACCTTCTACTAAAAAAATGAGAGTATTATTCAGAGCAAAATGAGATAAATAGATTCTATGGAGCATACTCTACAAAATTCTGTTTTCCCCCTTCAGTATGATGATACCATAATTCATAATTGCTGTGAACATGATCTATATTTCTATTTGAGGCACTGGCCAGCATCTCATGTTTAAAGATATAGTGTCACCCACCTCACCTGTCTAAGGCCAATGTGATTGGCTTTCCCCAGACAATTGATGGACTCAGAAGAAGTTAAGGTATTTCCTGAAGATGTAAGATAATTCAGCCAACACTTAGCTGCTGCTTGGAATGGTTGGGTGGCTGTTGGTTTACTGAGGAGCTCCAGGAGATGAAGCACCCAAAGAAATGCTCAAGCATCCCTGGAGGAAGACTAGGAGCAAGTTTGATCAAACATCTGGGATTACCTCATAGCAATAAAAGCAGAAAAATATAAATATTTCTCTACCCTTAATGCATCTGGGGATAATTATACAGTGGCCCTATTTAGGTTACTCAGTCCCTGCTGGGAAAGACAGGTCAGAGAGTTATCTGTGGGGCTGCTTGAGATATATTCTGACTATCTGGCAAATAAAATTGCTTAGAACCACTCTTAGATTCCAGCTGGTCAGGGTCATCAAAATGCTAACAACTCCATCTCGTGAAGTGACCTGGGATGAGTTTGAGCTGGTAACTCTTGAAGAAGTTGACAAGAACCCTGGTGGCACAGAGGTTAGAATGCAGTATTGCAGGCTAACTCTGCCCAAAGTTTCGAGTTTGATCCTGAAGGGCTCAAGGTTGACTTAGCCTTCTATCCTTCTGAGGTCAGTAAAATGAGAATCCAGAGTGCCGGGGACAATATGTCAACACTGTAAACTGCTCAGAGAGTGCTATAAAACACTATGGAGCAATATATAAGTTTAGGTGCTATTGCTAAGATTCTCTGCACTTGGTCTGGCTTGGCTCCTGTCTATTTAATCCAGGTCCCTCCTGGGTTATTAAGGCAGCAAGGGAGGTGACCTGCAAGTTGAGTCCGTACTGCCTCTTTGAGAGAAGGAATGGAGCCCTCAAACTTTGAAGGAGTTCCCCTCCCAAAAAACTTCAATCGAACAACCTCATTCAACTTTCTCAAGGTTGTTGAGAAAAAGGTTGGAATTACAGTCATGTTGCAAGCAGGATTCAATAGGAATACAGATTCTGTTATCCTTCTCTTAGCAGTTTTCAGTACTATCACAGTGTCTTTCTGGACCAGCTACAGGGATTGGGAATTGAGGCTACTGTTTTATGGTGATTCTTCTCCTTCCTTCCAGTTACTATTGATGGAGGAGGAAAAGGGGGGGAAAGTCCTCAAGGGCCCTCCTTTGGAGAGTTTTACTGAGTTTGTCAGTCTCTTCACATTTAACATCTATGTGAAATTGCTGGATGAGAGAAACATATAAGCCAATGGCACTTTCATATGATTTAGTTTTAATTTTGGAAAACCAGTTAAGAGAAATAGAATATTATTGGAAAAACTAAAAGAATTTGATGCATTTGCTAGATTTAAAATAACCAACAACAAAGATATTAACAAAAAATATGAGATGGAAGATCAAACAGAAACAGCTTTAAGACTGAGGAAAAAAAATGAAAGATATAGATATTACTATGATAATCATGAACTATATATAATTTCAAAAATCATGTCATGAAGTAAAATTAAGAAAAATGTCAAGATGGGGAAAGTTACAATTATCATAGTTGAGAAGAGTTTCTATGGTAAAAATGAATATATTACCTAGAATGATGTTTGTTTGTTTTTTTCAAATAATACCTGTTTTGACTAATGATGCAGATTTTCAGCAGTGGCAAAAAAAACCCCAGTATATCTAGATTTGTATTCTGCCACCTGCTGCTTAGTTTGGATGAAAGAATGACTATTGTTGAGAAATAAGAGAATGTTGGAACTATAAGAGCATAACCTGAGATTTGAGTGGCATTTTTTAAAAACGGTATGATAAAGTCAAAGTTACCATTATTAGAAGCATGACATTAAGAATGTGGAATAAATAAAAGACCCAATCTTTGTCCAAAAATATTTCTATTGGCATCAGCACAAGTATTTTATTTTACAGAGACATCAGGCAAAGAAAAATAGATAATATATCAAGATTTGTTAGTACAGGAAAATGGAGGACTTAAGCGGAAATTCAGAGAATACTTGATTACAGAGGGATTTAATTGTCAATGCCCAGTATAGAATATCATAAAACAATTTGAAAATGAATTATGTACAAATGTTGAACACAAGATTGCTAAAAAGTAGAAACTTTTGTAGAGATTTGAAACAGAAAAAATATTGTGTTTCCCCCAAAATAAGACCCAACCAGAAAATAAGCCCTAGCATGATTTTTCAGGATGCTCATAATATAAGCCCTACCCCCAAAATAAGCCACAGTTAAGATCGTTAGCCAGATGGATGCATTTAGTACCATATTTCCCCCAAAATAAAACCTAAACGGAAAATAAGTCCCAATGCATCTTTTGGACCAAAAATTAATATAAGACCCGGTCTTATTTTGGGGGAAACACGGGTAAGTTAAAGTGTATATGACAAAATGGGGAAGAATTTTGGTTTTAATGGGAGAGAAAGTGGTTAAAAAGTTTAAAATTCATACTGTCCTACAATTAAAAGAGAATTTTTATAAAATGATGGACCAGAGATACAGATCACCAGAGAAATTGTCTCAGATGTATAAAGGGACTAATTACTTTGGAAATATGAAAAACATGAAGGAACATTTTATTATGCATGGTGGACATGTGAAAAAGTGAAAAGTACTGGAAACAAATGCATACAGTGATGCAATAAATTTATAAAAATTAATATTCATATGAAACCAGATTTTTTTTAATTAGGATTTATGGACAAACAAATAGAAAGAACTCATGGACAACTGATTTTACATATGGTAACTGCCACATGCTCCTATATGTACGAAGAAGGGACAATATAGAAGTATCCACAATGGAAGAAGTGGATTGTGAACATGCAGAACTTGTAGAAAGGTCTGTTGACCTGTTAGATTAGGAAAACAATAAATACTTTTATAAAAGACTAGAAATCTTTTCATGGACATTTTTGCTGAAAATGGAAAGAAAATGAAATGATGATTTCTGGACTTAAAATGAATTGTATAGGGGGGAAATGGAAATATTTAATGTAGTTCTAAAGGGGGGAAATGCTAGAACATTTATTTATAACTGCTGTTAAAGAAGATCAGAAGCTGCTTCTTTAACTTTTTTATCTCTCTTAGAATTTTTAACATTTTTTAGCATTTTTTTCTTTTATCTTTATCTGTTTTTAATTTTCTTTTATATACTTCTTCTTTCTTAACTTTTATTTATATAAAAACCTTTCAATAAAATTTATAAAAAGAAACCTTTGTGCAACATCCTTTTTTGTAGCAGTTATGGCATTTCTGTATTGAAAGGCTGCTTAGACAGCTATTACTCTAGTTACCTCATGGCAATATGCTCTACATACGAGTACTTGAAGACCACTTGGAAGATACAAATGGTCAAAAATGCAGTATGGCAGGCAGTGATGAGAATGGCTTAGTATGTTTTAAAAGCTTTGTGAATTACCAGCATGCTTTTGGGCACAATGCAAGAGGCATTGTAGAAAACCATGTAAACGTGAAGAAAGTAAAACAGAAATAATATGTTGTTAGGGCAAAACAATTTGATAAATTATCTCCTTGTGATGAAAATATTATTAAACATAATCTTATGTACTGTAAAACATAAACAATTATTTGATTTCCCCTATTAAATTCCATGCAGGTATTTCCAGATATGTTGTTTTTTTTTTTGTCCGTAACAGAAAAAATATTTGCAACAATAATTCCTTTTCAGGCATCAAGATGGCGGACCGCTGTGAATACAATTATTTTTGCTGTCTTCTATTTAGCTATAATGCAAATGATACAGAGATAAAACAGTATAAAGAATCTAGAGCAAAATGAGAACTCCTACCTGAATTTGTGGTTTTAGAAGCTCTTCCTTTAGGGGCTGGGAGTAACAATAGTTCCAAAGACTGTGGTGGAGTCACTTTCTCTTGCTTCATGTCTGAAAGCTGCAGGGGGGTTTCTACAATCAGTGACTTTTTCTTTTCAGCCAAAAGGCTGCCTGCAGCTCTTGCAGCCACCTCCTTGAGTAGGGCTGCTGAAGAAGTCATTGAGGTGAGAGAAAGGAAAGAATTTGCTGGTGGTGAGTGGTCCTGACCAGGAGTCATGCTTCTTTCACTGACCTTCTTTGATAATGCAGCCAAGGTGGAGCTTGCTGATTGAGAACTAAATGGTGAAGGGAAGGTTTCAAACCTTACTGTTGGATCTTCAGTTCGAGAAAGAGACTTGTCCTGAAGGACTGCATTGGCAGCGGCTTTCAATTTTAGAATTGCTGAATCTGGAGACAAGCTGCAAGAGGGCATTGAGTTAGGCAACCATTTGCCTTGATTCCATATGAAACCTGTGTTTGGGCCATACTGATCGTTTTGTTCCTGTTTTTCAGCTAGCTTTCTTGCAAGGACACTTAGCTGCTGGGCATGATGTGTAGCTGGAGAAAAAGAGATATTTGAGCCAAGATTTACTGGGGACTCAACCCGGCCATTAACTGTGATAGTAGTGTCTAGCTTGAGAGAGCCAGCCTCCAACAGACGTCTCAAGTTACTACTCAACGGCTTGTTTGGGCCAGGATTATTATCATCATCACAGATAGAAGATACGCTAGAAGAGAGATGTTCCTTGTTCTGTAATACATCTCTCATGCCCTCATTCTCAACAACCACCAATTCCAATGTGTTGCTGCTAGGAGTCCCACTACCCAAAGAAGTATCTGGAGATGTGGATTGTTCTTGGATCCTATCCTCAAAGGATAATTTGAAGTTCTCCTGGATTTCTCCATAAGATGCTTCTGATGGGGTTTCTGAAGAGTTCCCAAACCAAGGCTCTTCCTCACTAAGCTCCTCTTCGGCTTCTTCCTGTCTAGTACCATCTGTGAAAAACCAAGGTGGATATACTTCATTTTAAATTCTATCCATGTTATTCACATAGTAAGGCTCATGGACTCAAATATACTTAATTACAAAGTAACTAAGTACAGTAAATATTAAATGTATCAATAAATGTTAGTTTATATAGTTATATATTGTGTTATAGTTTAACACAATATAACATGGTAATTCTACGGTAATAAAATGTGTATTAATTTACATATAATTTACATGCTACAGAAAACAAAATTATGTCATAGATCATGCACACGAACAGCCCCCCCCCACGCACATTGCTCCTGGTTTAAATTCTAGTTTTTTTCCTCCCTTTTATTCTAATCAATGAACCTTTTGATGACTTCTTGATCTTGACAGCCAAGAGACATTTTCTTTCAAAGTATAATGAGCTCTACTTTAGCCAGGTCCATCTGGATTTGTTCGGAGGAACTATAGTTGCCCAAACAATCCAGCACAGGCAGGTCAAAGCCTTTAATTTATACTAGAGACTATAATCACAAAGCCACTGAAAAATTACCTGAATGTTCCAGTATTGACAACAAAATTCTCAGAATCAATGAGCAAATTGTCCAACTACACAATTCAAAGCCACCCAAAATTTATGAAAATTGGTCATAAATTACATGAAGAACGAAGGTACATTTAACAAATCCATACAACATTGCTGTGTATTTATTTTTTGTTCAATTTATGTAGCCAACCACTTCATATACAGAATTCTGTCTGGCTGTTCAGATAATAAGAATAAAAATCTGTTAAATTTTATCTCGAGTTAAAATGTTAACTTTCTTCAAAGAACAAGGTAAAGACAATAATTATCCTTAATTTTTATGGACTTCAAGGCCAATAATCAAAGACAAATATATGGGGAGCTATCCTTCTTATTAATAAAAATGATAGGGGAAGAAAGGAGGAAGATAGGCAAATTTCTGTAAATTCTCATCAATAAATACTTTTACGCAAGCTATCTTTATATTTGATATCAAATTGTGGCATTTCATGGGACTCTTGATTTTCAAGAATGAGAACAAATGAGGTGGTGTTGCACTTTTCTCTTTCCTTTTCTTGCTAAGCGAGACTATTGTGGATTGCATAGGTATTTCAGAACTCGCAGGCTGTAAACTTTGTGTGATAAAGAAGCAAGGGTTCTATTATCCTAATGAATATGTGGATTATTCATTTGAACCCAATACATTCTTCTATTGATGCTCTGGAAGGAAGGGGGCTTTAGGACAGCATTATATGGTGAGATTCTTTATAATAAAAATGTAAGCCTTTTGTGGGTCAATGTCAGTTTTCTCAGACAGATACTGAAACTCAGTTCTCAGCTACTTGGGTTCAACTTCCCAAATCTCTGGTGTACATATATGTGAGTCGGGGTGATGGAGGAAACACAGTAAGAGGAACGACATCTTCCCTTGCCCTCTTGTATTTTTATCACAACTTCCTAAGCCTCCCATCAATAGCCAAGCAGATCTAGAAATCTTCAAATGCCCTGATGAATAAGTTAATTTTATATTTCATCTGATAATTCCTCTTTTAAATGGTCTGTTAAGGTTCTTTCATTATAGTTAATCCTGAGTTAACAGCAGAAATTCAATGGTATTCTCTCACCTGGCACTTACCCTGTTGGAGATTATAGTTTCCACAACTAGGGGTCACTTGTGTAATTGAATCATTGAAGTTAGACTTTATCAGTGTCATAACATTGATGCAGTTGTCCAAGCCTGTGCTGTTCTGTACCAGAAAGGAAGTTGCCAATTTTTCAACTATGGCTATTTTGCAGTTCTGTTTCATTATTAGACTAATTACCTATGATATGTGAGACTGATCCATGGAAAAAGCTTTAAGTTTATAGAGATTTATAATTCAGGAAGGTAGCAAATTTGCCAGGATTCCCATCATATTTGCCAGGTAGGTGAAGATGAGCACACAGCATCAGAAAGTTGCTGTTCCAACAGCTGACGAATCTTGGGCCAGAACTGGTAAAGGGACTGCTGGTTGTGCTAGATTCTGCCCCACTTGCTGAACTACCTGGTCCATCTGGGTGGTAACCTGGTCCTGAGAAGGCACAGGTGATATAATGTATACTTAATGGGATCTGTAATCATTATGAAAGCTGTTGAAGTGTAGCATTTCTTCCCTTAGTATTATGAATAGAAACAGGCAAATCTTGCTATCTGACTTCACATCAGACATACAAATAAATCTCAATAATGAAAACAATCAACCCTGTACAGTATTTAGGAATTTGCTTACAGCAGAAGCTTCCAAATATGACATAGCAGACAAAAAAATACATGTAGAGATATGCCTATCATAGAACACACAAATCAGTCTGCTTCTCTCACCATCCTACACATCCACCCATCCTTTGATCCATGCATCCATCATTTATTCATCTATCATCCATCCATCCATCTCTCCCTCCCTCCCAGGATTTAAATTTTAGATCTTTTCTTTCCATCTTTTTTTTATCAATGGACCTTGGTGTTGTTTTCCCTATCGTTGAATCTACTCAGTGTTTATATACAAGATGTTCTAATGTTCACATATATGTTATGAGTACAAATCAAAGAATAACCTAGTCCTAGCCAGAATGAACAACAGGCATAAGAATTCTGGAAGCTGTAATTCCAACATATTTGAAAAACATGAGCCTAGGAAAAGCTGCTTTAGAGCTTTGTCATAATAATTTATACCAGTGGTGGTGAACCTATGGCACTCAGAGCCCTCTCTGTGGGCACACGCGCCGTCGCCCCAGTCCTAGGCCTTCAGCTGGGTTTTATACAACCTTTTCGCTTTAGGCCTCCGCCACCGTGTGCAAAAAAAAAAAAAAAGTTCAATCAGTCAATTTCAACTTCTCACGGGAAAAAAAAAGATCTTCAAAGTTGGAATTGATTGATTGAACTTTTTGGTCTCACTCAGTCTGCCGTTACCACTGTGGCCATGCCACCCAATGAGCCATGCCCACCCAATGGGCCACTCCCACCCGGCACTTGACGATGCATACGTGGGTTTTGGGTTGCAGTTTGGGAACTCAGTCTCTAAAAGGTTTGCCATCACTGATTTATACACTAGGAACAGTAATTTTATTTTCAACATATATTGTTAATACTTGTTCTGTATGTATCTATATGAAATATTACATCTCTTTTTTCAAACTATTCATGTCCTTCAGAATATTATTTTTATAATATTCGCACAATCTCATAACACTTGCTTCTCTGATTACTTACAATGCTTAATGTCTCAGAACTTTGGGGACTTTTGAGTATATTTCCCTCTTGCTTTTATAACCATATAACAGGTTGGTTTTTTTTTACTCAATTTACCTTTTTATTCTTTGTTCATACAGTCAATGTTTCTTTAATGTATAGTTGCCTAATTTAAACTCTTTTTTCAATCTCATTAATGTTACGTATGCAGCTTTTCAGGCACAATTTGTGTGTGGATTTTTGGATAGGAAAATATAGGTGGTATTCACATTGAAAAAAACTCTCACACTTCTAAGAAGTCCAATTTCACAGAATAACTAAATCTGCAGCTAATTGAACCCATGGCAATATTCTTTTTTATACTTAGAAAAAAAAGAATCTCACATTTCAAACTGAAGAGTATCTTTTCAGAGATTTATTTTTTGAAGTATTGAAAAATCCATGAATGCAATATAGAGGCTCTAGATTCTAGAACAACTTGCTGTGGCCAACTTATCATGGGACAACTCACTGCAGCCAACTCTCCACTGAACAATTTGCTGCAGGACAATTCAGTGCTGTATTAATCATTTCATTCAATTACTTTTACTATTGTTGATCACATTCTCATAGAATGCTAATTTTTTAACTGAAAACCTGCTTCTATAACTACGTTTTCATACTATTAGCAATTCTAACGTATCTTCTGAGATGTTTCTGGCAGTGTTTAAAAGAAGTGACTCTAGGTTGCTCCTCCTCACCATAGTCATTCAAAGATATGATCAAAGATTTTTTGTGCATCTTTGGTTGGCCAACCCTGAAGTAATCTAGAACAGTAGCAATATCAGTATAAAATGGAATCTATCCTTCTTGCCAGATACTTTTCATTAGCATGACTGCTTTGAAAAATGAATGTTCCAAAGCACAGTAAGAGTCACAGAAAGATGATTACAATCAATACCAAAAACAGTAAGGAAAAATAAACCAATTACATGGACATTCAGATGGAACTGTAAACCAAAATTGAATGGATTGGTTGAACTTCCAATTATCTGGTGAAACAAACATATGAACAGAATTATTATTTGAGCTTGTATATGTTACAATATACAAAGCATCAATCAATTACTGGCTTAATGATTAATAGTGGAACACTGCATCTATGTGTTACTGAGTGAAAATGAAAAACTGTTACAGGCATGGCCATTTGACACCTGCCTAATTATAATTTAGATACAGTTCCTGCTTTCCAGATATGCTGAGATGACTGATAGTAATAATTGTTTTAGTCTAATACAATTCGATGATTAAAACTTTAAGAAGATAAAATTCCAGTGAAAATGTCTAGATAGAAAAACAGTTTTTCTTTTGGATGTATGATCTTGTTAGCAATTTTGTCATATATATATATATATATATATATATATATATATATATGAAAAAGAAAAAGAAAAAGAAAGAAGATTTCTTTCTCCCATATTTGGGCTGACAGGGTGTACATTCAAGGTAAATATATATATATATATATATATATATATATAACAGTTTTTCTTTTGGATGTATGATCTTGTTAGCAATTTTGTCTTATACATATATATATATATATATGGAAACATTTTATCACCTATCCATAGGTATGGAGTAAATGACATGTATTACAAAAATGATGCTTTGATATGGTAATGTCAGATGTTGGGGTGCAATGGGATGCAATGTTATTAGTGTGAATGCAGCTGCATGTGTGACATCGCTACTATTGTGGAGACTACTGGAAATGTTCTTTTATGAAAAAATAATAAATAGGCTGATCCCATAAACCAGTGTAAATCAAATGAGCTTACATTGTTTGTGGGAAATGATTAGGAAGGAAGTTTAAAAGGTGAAAATAGGTAGCTTGCTTAATAAAGGTTTAATGTCTGTTTCTATCTTTACTTTTATAGCTAACAATCATATTCTCCAAAATCAGCCATTTTGCCAATGTTGACAGTATTCCAGGGGGATGCAAAATGAGAAGAGGAGCCATACAACCTCTTCTAATCTAGATTCTACCTTTGGGTAGAACAACTTCATGATTGTTAATCAGACATAATCAGTCATAATCAACTGAGATTCTTCTAACTCTATGTAGAACTACAATCATTATTTTAAAAGACTGTTTTGAAAAACATGGAATTGAAAAACAACAGTATAATATCAGTGAGATACTTCTGAATAAATTTGTGTAAGAGTGAGGTCTACAAAGATTCTTCAGTTGTAAAGAGCTGTGTGTGTCTGTGTATGTGTGTGTGTGTGTTATGGAAATATTTTTACCTATGCCAAACAGATTTGTAAACAGATTCTTAAACTTTGGCACTTTCTAGCCGTTTCTGATTTTGTTCCCTGCTAAAAGTTCTAGATTTGCTTACATCTACCGTGTTTTCCCAAAAGTAAGGCCTACATCAACAATAAGCCCTAGCTTGATTTTGGGGAGTGGGCCTAATATAAACCCTATCCCAAAAATAAGCCCTAGTTTTGGGGTGAGGCACACACCTAAAAATCAAGCTAAGGTGGGGGTGGGGGTGGAGCTGCCCCACCCGCCCTGCACCCACTTACCTTGCAGCCAGGCCTCTCCTTGCCAGCTCACTTCTTCTTCTGAGGCCTCTTCTGCAGCCAGGTCTGCATTTCTCAGTCATAGGGCTTTCCAGAAGGCCTGTGCAGCCAAGAACTGAGCTATGGATTGAATCCATAGCTGGGTTCTGCAAGACCTCAGCAGCTGAGCACCAAGCTATTGAATCCATAGCTCAGTACTCAGCTGCTTAAGCCTTCTGGAAAGACCTGACTGCAAAATGCAGGCCCGAATGCAGCTGCAGAACTTCTGCCCCAGAAGTGGACCAGCTGGGTGGGGCTGTCGTTGCCGGAGGTGAGGTAAGACCTACCCCCAAAATAAGACCGGGTGCCTCTTTTGGAGACAAAATAAATAAATAAAACCCGATCTTATTTTCAGGGAAATACGGTAAGATTTTCCTACTGGATTAGAATTACCACATTGCCTAATTACATGATGATGCAATGCAGTATGTTTCCTAATTAGCCAGTGTCACTGAAGTCACTGAATGTTTTCATACAATAACTTGCAACTCCAGAAAATATTTATGCTCGCAAATCATAGGATACCTAATTTCAATCAGTCGTTCCCCATTATGTAGTCAACAAAAATCGGATTTCCTGAAATTGTATTTTTCTGACAACAAATACTATCAACGGTCATCAATTGAAAATACTGAGATAACAACAGAAATAATAACATTAAAATACAGGATTGTCATCTCCTGCTTTTTGATATTTCTCTATTTTGGAAGCATCCTCTGAAGAATAATTTAGTTTAAGACCAGATTGTAGGTAAACAAAGGAAAATTGGAACTTTGAAACTGTCCAACCACCATTTGGACAGCAGAATAAGCAAGTCACACAACTCATAATTTTCTACATAAAAAGCATAATTCTTATGCTTTTAATAACATTTATTTTTTATCAAAAGCAGTGTAATGTTATTAAAAGCATACGAATTAATTTTTATACATTACATTGTAAAAAATGTGAACATGCATACATTGAAAATGCCTGTTTGCTTATAGATAATACAATAGTAGGTAGATTTTCTCCATGACGATCAGTCCCAAACTTAGACTTTCAGATCTTCCAACTTGGCAGTCATTGCCACTATAACTGAGCCTATCCACCTTGCTGCTGATCTTTCTTCTCTTTCTGTCAATCATTCCCAAAATGAAGGCCTTCTCCAAAGAACCAGGTCTTTGCATAATGTGTCCAAAATGCATTTAAAGTACTTTAACCTTACTTACTTGCAACTGTTTTTCAAAGTAGTTCACATCAATGCCATTCAGTTTACAAGACACATTAGGAAAATGTAATGAAGAGAACTGGAAAAGTGGAAGAGTTGTACTTCAGGATTAGTACAAAGTGATGAACTATTAGCAGATATTTAAACAGACTTCTAACTCATTCTAGCAAAATGGAAGTATTCTTTTTTACATCAAAGGATGAAATTAGATTAGTTTATTGCTTAGGTTGATGTAGCCTTCCTATGGCCAAAGTCCCCAATGGATCATTTACCTTGAAAACTTCCACAAAAGCTAATGAAATGAGTGAAATTTTTTTAAAGAAATAAACAAGTCTTCCTCAAAGTTCCAGGAAGAAAAAGAACCCCAACAAAATAGACTGCTAAACTTTCAGCTGAAAGTTTTATATATAACTTACTGGACTTGCAGCACAACATTTCAAGAGCCTCTAGTACAGCAGTTCTCAACCTGTGGGTCGGGACCCCATTTGGGGTCGAACGACCATTTCACGGGGGTCGCCAAACAATGCAGTCCGCCATTTTTTCCCCTTTTCCTTAGCTGTGCTACTCCCTTTTATTCTATTGGCTTTTGAAAGCCAATAGAATAGACTCTCTTCAATAGAGTCTAATTCTATTGGCTTTCAAAAGCCAATAGGAATTGTCCAGGCTGTCTCTGCCCTGCTGAGCCCGCCAAAAGCCCCAGTCTGCAAACGGTGCTGCAAGTTGTCTGCAGCAAAGTCTGCAGTTGTCTGGAAGTTTACACCCCTCCCTGCTG